TTTTGGAGGACATTTTTTGGGGTTCTTTTTAGCATTAGGGGTAGGGTTTAGGGTTAGGTTTATTAATAAATGAGTATATGTGGGTTTTATAGGCTCTAAGGGTGAGCATGAGAGGTCTCCAGTTTCATTTTGATCAGATTTCATTATGATCTGCGACAAGAACTGGTATTTGACAAGACACTATACCAACTAGACCACCAGATAAGTAACTAGAGAAAAAGGACCCAACTATGAGGACTAGAAGCAGGTCACAGTCTCTTCAGACTATCTAGATTAAGAGTTTAGATTACTGACAGAACTTCAGTCAAAGATATTACCAAATATAAACAATATTGATCACATCTTTTGTAGTATATAAATGCCGATTAGGTGTTATTAGATATTTTGATTATATGTTAATCAGCTAATCAGATCATGGCCTCAAAAAATCAAAAAACTAATAACATATAACACAAATATTAGATTAATAAAAAGTTATTTAAAATTTCTTAATTTTTAAAATTATATAGAAATTTGTGTTATGAATAACTTTATTAAATATAAAGTCGATTTATTCAGTAAAAAATCTTATTATAAACATTTTTTTATAAATCTCAAATTTGAAGATATCTTGCCAACTACTAATCAGATTTGAATAAATTTTATACTATTTACTCATCTTAATGAGACAAATAGAATAGATAAAAATCATCTAAATATAATTGATAGATTCCGAGATACTGTCAATAATCTAATTTATTATTTTAATAAAATTCTTGAATAATGCTTGATCAAATTAAAAACAACTCTATTCGATTATACAACAATATATATATCTCAAACTATATTACAACTAATTTCTTAATTCCAATATCTAGAAAAATAAAAAAAAATTGTTAAAATAACAATAAAAAAAATTAAAAGTGAAGAACTTCTATTGTAAATTCTATCCATAAATTCGCCTTCAACAATTACAAACCAATCTTAACAAAAGTAATAAACCTAAACTATAATACATAATAGTAATAGCACAAGTTTGAATAAGCATATAACACTGCAAAAAGGCTCAGTTATTGAGCTAAAAAAAAAAGAAAAAGAAGTAGCAAACAAACAAACCTTAAATAAATAAGTAAAATCTTGAAGATTTCTTTGGTTCTTATCCATTTTTTTAGAAAAAAGAGATTTTTTTGAGATTTTTACAGATTATGAGACTATGGGTTCTTCACTTTTCATGTATTATATTACTACTTGTGAACAAGTAGTACAAAAAGTTAGAAAACCTTAGCCAAAAAGTATGATTATAAGCCAATCATTGCTTGAGGATTTTCTGTGGAATGTTTCAAAATCAGTATCCAAATTTAGTAATATCCTGGACTAAACTTAGATATTGATAATAGTTTGTAAAGTGTATACTGAAGTCTGAGTGAATTCTACAAGAGCAGAAATAGATAATAGTAGTGGCTTTAGCTCACAAGTACTTGTCCTTGGACTCAGTGTAAGTTACCAAAGTTTAGATTAGCCAGATTGTAGATACAGAAAGCTTTAGCAGGTTTATCTTAAAGACAAAAGGCTCCTATAGATGAGCTTGTCTTAAAGTCTTAAGTCAGAGATCCAAAAATAAGGATACTAATATATTTTCACTCAGTTAGAGGATTAATATATATAGGTGCAGAGAGTTTAAATGGGTAACTCAGTAGGATTATAAGTATAGCAGTCAGTATAGAATCTTCGGGTGTTTACTTAAATAGCCAACCAAAAGTTATATATGTAGCTAGTTATACTCTTCAAATATGTATATAGTATAGTGTATACTATACTATAAAGTTAACAATAATCAAATAAAAGGACAGCAACCAAGAAGTCACTTTAAAACCAAAAAAAAATTTTTTTGATATATTTATTACTATCAGTTAGAAAAAATGTTATACTTGTTGATATATAAATATTAATATATAATAAAAATTATAATAAAAATATATAAATTTACTACAAACTTTTAGCTTAAGATTTTTGCATTCGGAAAATCTGTGCTTAGTTATGCATGATTATGCATGATTTACAAATCAGATTTCAAGGATTAGGTGTAATGTAGTATGATCAAAACAAACGTTCGTTTTGCCAAAAATCACTTCTTTCTCAAAAATTTGCATAATAAACCACCTTTAGTACACTAACAAAAAGTTTTTCTTGTGCGATTTTACTATACAAACACTTAGCTTTTAACTTTATACGAAACGCTACCTAACATTAATGAACTTTAAAAAATTTTGTCTAGATCACTAACTAAGCACAGATTTTCCGAATACAAGATTTTTTTCAACTTACAAATTAACTTATTTTTAAATTTTGAGGTCAAATATATCAAAAATAGTAAAATAAGATTACTTAATAGATAATTATTCAGTAAATTGAAGAATGATTATAGTATAATATAATGAGATTCTATATATAAATTACTATTATAGATATTAAAAAAAATTTTTTCTAATAATTGTTTAAAGAAAATATCACTTTAATTCTTTAAGTAAAGTTGTAAACTCATCGAGACAAATCTAATAATAGTTAGATTATCAAAATCAGTTTAATAAATGCTAAAATATCTTTAAAAAATATTTTGCTATCTATATAAAATTCTTTAAAAACAATACAAAGAATTTTTATATAGTTAGCAAAATATTTTTTAAAGATATTTTAGCATCTACTAGACCAATTTAGATGATTTAACTACCATTAAATTCGTTTTGATGAGCTTTACAACTTTATTTAAAGACTCAAAGGTGATTAACTTAGTATTAAAAAAGTTTTTTTTATACAATCATTAAAAAATTTTTTCTTTTACATCTATAGTGATTTATATATAAAACTACATCATGTTATACTATAATTATTCTTTAGTTTATAGGAAAATCATTAATTAAAATAATTTTTTAAAATTCTATAAAAATTAAAAATTTATTAGTAAAATTTTATAAAAAAATTTTTTACTAATTTTAAGAATATAATTATATGTAAATTTTATGCTGCTGTCCTTGTGGGCTACCTGACCAACAATATGATAATAATACATGTTCACCCTTTGAAAAAGCAATTAGAAAATATCATTATAGACTATTATATGGATTAAATATAGTACATTAACTAATAATATCTTACATTATCAAATCTAGGTGAGTTTTAACTACTCTAATAGGTTTAGATTGCAGATGAATCAGAATTTCTAGTTTAGATAGCTTCTGGTAGTCTAAGTCTCATTCTTGTAAAATTTTTGTAACTTGGCTCTAGCTAAAGAAACTCATAGTAGATTCTTAATACAAAATATTAATAAATATAAAGGCAAAACTTCACCTTAAAAAAAAAAAAAAAAGTAAAATTTTATGCTAAACAAGTTAACTTTAAAAACAAAATAGGTTGTCTTAATAGAAAAAAGTTTGTTATAGATAAATTTTAAAATTTTATGTTTTTTTATATAAAGCTTTTTTTTACTAAGATAATCTACTATATTTTTGTCTTTTAAGTGAATTAATTTAGTACAAAATTTTATATACTTTGTATCTTGCCAAATTTCATTTTTTTAAACTTTTACTAAATAAAAAACTAAATTAAAATTATGTAAAAAAATTTTACAGTATTTTTTAAAAAAAAATTTTACATAATTTAACTCAGTTTTTTATTTAGTAAAAAGTTCAAAAATGAAATTTGGTTAAAAATAAAGTATGTAAAATTTTATGCTGAACAAATTCACTTAAAAAACAAAAAAAGATTATTTTAATAAAAAAAAAGTTTTATATAAAAAACATAAAAGTTTGAAGCTTATCTATAACAAACTTTTTTTTTACTAAGACAACCTATTTTTGTCTTTAAAACCAACTTGTTCAGCATAAAATTTTACATATAATTACATTCTTAAAATTATAGTAGTAAAAATTTTTTTTTACAGGTTTCACATACCAAGTTCGTACAAACTGACAATTAAATTTGTACATATAGTTAAATTAATACTATGATTTAATAGTGATATCTCATAATCTAGCAATTATACTTACATAATTTCGATACTATTAGGTTTATCTTGTCAAGACGAATATAACAGTACCAAATCACATATTTATAGTTACTAGATTATGAAATATCACTATTTAATCAGAGTATTAATTTAACTATATGTACAAATTTGATTGTCAGTTTGTATGAACTTGGTATGCGAAACCTGTATAAAATTTTACTAGTAAAATCTTCAATTTTTATAGAATTTTAAGTCATTTTAAGTAATCTTATTCTAATATTCTTGATATGTTTAACCTCAAAATTTGAAAATAAGTTAATTTGTAAGTTGGAAAGGATCTTGAGCTTAAAGTTTATAGTAAATTTATATGTTTTTATTATAATTTATCACACGGTGTGACATCTTCCCTGACTGCTATATATTACCATATTGGTATATATTTATTTAAGTCATTTTATAAACGTATAATTATTTTGCTATCAAAACACCCGGGCGTTATTTCGCGATGATACGGTGAACTTTCATAATATCAAAATATGTTCAAATTTAATTCATATTTTTTCGTTTGTATGCTTTGCCATTGATATAGAAAGCCTTCTCAACATTTTTTATGATAGTATATGATCGACTTAAACGTCTGTTTTAATTCTCGCGGCGTGTAAATAAAACTTTATCACATACAACGGATGTTTATCCTTTTTACATCTGTACCAAGCTAAATGCCGAACATTTCAAACGAATGATGCTAATCATTTGTATCAATGCACTCAAGGGTGCCTATTATATTTTATTGTGTAAGAGTATAATTAAAAAAAAACGAAAACTGCACAAGCTGCACCTAGCTGTATAAGAATTTCGTGTTTGGCTAATTTAAAACTAAACATTACAGTATGGTAACTATCAAGTAACTGAAAACCTATCATAATCGGACTCGTCATCCTCAAGCATTAATGTCCAAAGGATTCCATCCGAAATGCGTTGAAGCTGGTTATATACTAATCTGCTATTCGACTTTAAACTATTTCCGATAAGATTCATGAACCCCAAAAATCTTTGCTGCTATTAATTCTTCAATCCATTCGACATTCCCACACGCAACAACTCGTTGCATATTATCAGTATTTTTTAATTCTTCCCATCTTGTCACCACAAATCCCATTGCTGCAGATTTTAGACACATATCACCCATCTGCCATCCAAGTAACAAGATCTCATCCCAATTGTCACTGTTTACATCTTCAGCGATTCGATTGGCAAGTATCTTTCCTAACGTTTCTAGGCCCAACATATCAGCTTTCATATAGGCAGCTTTCAAACAATCTAATTCAAGATTTTCTTCCAGTTTTCCTGTGTACAAATAATACATTATACAACGAAAGATTTCGTATTCGACCTCCTTAATAGGAATAACCTTGCTTCGACCTTCTACCCATTGTCCGCTTAGCAGAGATTCAAAGTATTTCGACTGTGCAGCCAGAATTATTCGATGTGCTTTGATACGGGCTCCACACGGAAAAGAAAATTCCACATCGCAGAAACGTTCGTCGTCAAAATATTTTGGAATTTGAGCAGCCAGAGGAAATTCTCCATGTTGTACCTCCGTTACAGCAGCCATAATTGCAGTATTTTCTTCATTCGTTATTCGCACTCGAACTATCAAGTCAAACTTGCTGTTTGGATCTGGATATATTTCGGATAATTTCAAGAATTGCCGACGACCAAACACTTGGTCAGATCCAAAACCAAATCTCGTTTTTGAAAACTTTTCATTCTTGAGTAATATAGGAGTTGGTACCATCGAAGAGGATGTGGAAAGTGATGATTCTAACCGATAAACTTCAAAAGCATAAGTTCTTTCTCTCCCTAATGAGTTACCATCCCTTTCATGATCGGTTGGAATAGCTTTGAGAAACAAGCCCAAATAATTCTTGTCAGCTTGAGAAACACCATTTGGATACATGCACATTCTCCAAAGATAGTCTGAAGTGTCTCCAATTGATGAAATCTTATTTGATTGTGGGTGATTTGGCTCAACAAAACTGTCACTGTAGAACCATCTACCCGTTGGATAAAGATCAGCTACTTCATGATAATCCCTTACAGTCCAAGTAAACGTGAATTGATCATGAATAGGAAGTTTTGTATTTTGCTGGGGTTGTTCAGAAGCGTGCCTATTGGGCTGAAAAAGCCATTTCATACTCATATCTTCTCTTTTTTTTTTCTGGCGTTGAGGTGGAATTTTGGTTTGTTGAAAGGTGGAAATCGCAGAATTTGAAGTGTATATGTCCGGTAAAAGCTGTTGATCGTACGAGCCCATTGTTAGTCTTTTGAAATCTCTTGAAGTATGGACAAGTAAGAGTCGTTGCACTTAAATAAAAAAAGCAACTACTTAAATACTGATACCGGAAGGTCTGTTTATATTATTTGTTATACGCTTGATTTCCTTCTAGAGAGAAATTTTTGGGCAATAAAGTGTATAAAAGTATATTTATATTTATACACTCTCAGAATTATATTTATAGTGATGATAGCTTAGTATGCAGCGAGAGAGGGACATTACAGCGGTGTAATCGTTTCACAGTATCAGAAATTTCTTAACTTGTCAGGAAAATTGTTATTGTTTTTTTTTTTTTATTACGTATCTACGATTTTTATTTATTTTATTTTTAATAAAAAACATTACATTCCGATACCTAGGGTTTGGGGCACGGAAAAAAAGTTAGGCATACACATATTCCTTTTTTAAGTCATGTGATTAACGTACGGTTACGGTTAGTATACAGTTTAAAATTAAATCTAAAACATCCAAGGAAACGCTGTGACGTAAGATTAGTTAGTGTTACTTATTCGCTCTCTTCAACTGCATATTGATGATTCATACAGTATGGTGGCGGACAAATTTTTTATTTTTTTTTAATGATTTGATAAAATAATATAAATCTTATAAAATTCTAACAATTACTTGTTTCAAGTTTACACATAAATTTGTTTTAAGAATCAAGGTTAAAGTGAATAATATTCTTGGCCCCTGCTAGGTAGCAAGAGTAGGGTTTTATTAGCACTCTGATTAAGTATATTTGAAGCAAAAAAGCAAAAAAAAAAAAAACAAATTTAACTTGGATATTTGTAATACTGTATAATAACAATATTTCTTGTTATTATTTTTTTTTGCTTCAGTAATCCTTTTTTTATTATTTAAATCAGGATGTACAATATATAAATAGAGATTAATTTATTTTACAATCTACTTTTTATATTAATAACGGATTACTTAATATTAAAATGCAATAAAAATATATTTATTACTTGCACTTAGGTGTAATTCATCTAAGTGGTTCATGTTTACTTTGTTTAAAATTTTTAACTTACTATATAAAAATTTAACCACCAAAAATCTATAGTATATGTTTGCCAATCTTGTTAAGATTACTGCTCTAAAGTGATGTACTTGAGGATGAAGTTAACTATGCTAGTAGTCCTATAGATAGTTTGTGATAATTTTAAACTGTAAAATAACTAATGTACCTTATAATACTAGGTGAGATTAGTGGATTGGTATAAGAAATAAATTAGAGAGTTTAAATAGAAGATCCATAGATAAATCTTAGATATAGCATATGAAGAGTAACTATAAATAGAAATAGATATAGCGAAGCCTTTAAATAGGTAATGATTAAAGTTATATATATGTTTATATACTATATATTCTTATTAGAATATACTTGTCTAAAGTTTTTTTAAAAAGAGTATTATATAATTCTATAAACTAATAAAAGCAATAAGCCAAAAAGACGAATATTAAGTAAGCGTCAACAACTCTCCTCGCTAATCCTCTGTACATAAAAATACGAAAGCAAAACAACAACAAAAATGACAGAAATACACAAACGGCTATAGAAAAAAAACTTGCAGCTCTAAGTAAAAAGTAAGAAAACTAAAAATAATACTTAGTCTCTTAAGAGACTTGAGTAAATAAAGCAGAAGCAGCAAAGATATAATAGAAAAACTTGAAAAATCGTTGATAATTTTGCTTTTACAAGTCATTTAGGAAGATTGGCCTTGACTCTATAATGCAGATCAGTTACTGTTACACAAGATATACAACACGTAATGAAGAATAAACAAAGAAAACACATTAAAAAACATGTAACAGACAAAAACAAAAGAGATATACAAACACAACAACAAATTAGTCACGTGAAGCAAAAAATAATAGAAAATGCTAGAACAAAACCTACAACAGCAGAACAAGCAGAGGAATGAATAGCAGCAACCCATATTGAATTGAAACAACATTGAGCAGGAAGAATTAAATATACAGAACTTGCATTTAAGAAAAGAAATAATATAGCATATTAAGAGACGATATAGTTAGAAATTGACCCAACAAAACATATTCTACTAGACAAAGTAACCAGTACTATAAGAAATCTATATGTAACAGAAAGAGAAAGGCTGTTTATATGTAATAAAGAAAAATTGACTGCCGAGTATACAAAAGCTAGAATAGAAACAGAATAGATAAAAAGACTAGATAAGCAGAGAAAGTGTCAACAAAGGCAGCATAATAAAATAACATTAGGACTATTATTACAGTGCTTTAAAGAATCGGTAGATTTAATGGAAATAAAACAACACGAAAAAAAAAGAAAAAATAAAATTAGAAAGGAAATAAAGAAGATGCAAGTTCAACAGAAAGCAAAGCTGCTAGAACAAAAATATAAAGAAGCTAAAGAAAAAGAAGATATAGTAAAGAAAAGAATCACAGGAAGAGATATTAAAGGCCTTATAGAAAAGGAAACTTTAAACAAACTAACTGAAGAATTAAGACCAAAAATTCTAGTATTAACCTTAATAGAAGAGGAAAACTCTATCAAGATACAAATCAAAAACCCACAAAAGAAAATACTAAGGTAGATAGCAGAGTTTATATATCAAGTAAATTTAGAAAGCAGACAAGATAATATTAAAGATTGAAAAAAGAAGAAAAAAGAAATCTTAGAAGAATGAAGTAGACAAATTAGATCATTAATAAATATTAGTATAAATAAAGATAATACTATACAAGATGCAGCAACAGGAAGAATAGTAGAAGTCAAGAATTGGAAAAGAAAAAAGAAAGATACCAGGTTTAGAATAGCAAAAAGAAGTATAAGAAAAGTAGCTGAAAAACAAAAGAAGTGCTTTAAACTACTAAAGAAGCTATACAGAAGAAAAGCAAGCTTATGGAATAAGAAAGAAAAAGCGAATACGCAGTTTCGAACAGTTAAGAATTGGATGAAAAAAAAGAAAAACTTCACACTGAAAACAGTAAGGAGGTTTTTAGAAAGACCAAAAGATAAAGAGAAGTATACAAGATCTCGTAAGGCACTTATTAGAAGAAATATAAGACTATGGAGTTGAAGAAAAAAAGAAAGCACAAAGTTTCAATGAAAGAGAAAAAGAAGATTTAAACAAATTAACCAAGACCTAGAAGCAGAAAAATCAAAAGTAATATCGAAGAAACTAGAAGAAGAAAAAAGCTGCAGACAAATACTTTTAGAAGAAATTAGTATAAAGAATACGATTAAGAGCAAGAAGAATAAGGTGAAGCTTAGGAACTGGAAGAAACATAAAAAGAAGAGAGAAAGTAGAGGATTGAAGCGCCAGAACAAATTACCAGTAGAAAAAAAAGAAGAAATGAAGTATGAAAAGATGAATTGGTGTAACTATAGAAGATCACAGAAGAAATTAGATAATAGCAAAATTTTTAAAATTTATAGAATAGAAAATACACAATGTAATAATCTTATCTTAAGATTAGCAATTCAATGTTTTGCATTGTTCGCAAGTACTGGCCATGGCCAAAGCGCAATTATATTGTGGAATATAAATATAATTAAATAGTATTGACAAGGCAGGTAGTCACTAGCTGATGACCAAAGGGAAATAAATCCTTAGTGAATTAAGGATCTGGAGGGAGGCCAAGAACTACTAAGGCAGGTCGCATCTGAGCGAAAGCTGGGGTGAGTCTCTAGTTTGGTTAGATTAACAATAGCTATAGATAGAAATGTATAATTCTTGTATAGCTTAATCTCAAATAAACAGAGGCAGGATTGCTGAATTATAAAAAAAATAAGCCAAAAAGGCTAATCTTAACTATAAAAAAAAAGATCATTACTTTATATAAAATATTATTAATAAAAATTTTTTTTTTACCTTTGCAATATCACGGAAAGGCGAATTTTTATTAGGTATATTAGTAGTACATTCTTGGTTAACAAGAGTATATACTAGCCATATCTGCACCTTTTGAGCACCTAATTAAGTAGCTACCTATTACTAGAGTCTACACTAGATGCCATACCTATAACCTACTATTACTTGAGCTATCCAATTAAACTCTCTAATGTCCTCCATCTTGCACTATCACCTTAATTACATCAACCTATAACCTCGTGCTACTTCATTAAAAACTACCCAGATCAATATGTGCTACACTACTTGTGCTCTAATTTGATAGATAACCCAGTAGGGTTCTTATACTTATCAGGTTACTTTAAGGAGAGTGTAATATATACTCTTTAATCTTTCTATATCCTACACATTTCCAGACTAGGCCTTTTCGGTAACTTATATTGAGTCTGAGAACAAGTACTTGTGAGCCGAAACCACTACAGTTACCTACTACCGCCCTTGTAGAGTTTACTCAAATTCTGGTATCTACTTTACGAACTCTCTTTCATACCTTCGGAAACCCAAGCTTCCAATCTGATAGCCTGGAAGGGTGAACTCCTTCTCCGGTTATCTAATAGCCAGTTAGTATAGTGCTTTGCTAAACACCTTAGTCCCATTCAGTTTTCTGATATCTGATTGATTATCCTTTACATAGTAACCATCAAAGATCTGTATTACTTCTTCACTTAGGTCTTGCCAAGCAGGCTCCTATATTTTGTAAATTCACTGGATTTATCCAGTAGCTTCACTCAGGTTTTGTATAACTCGTACATCACATTATATTTTCCACTACCTCCCAGTACAAGCTGATACGACCACTATTACAGGTTCTATAACCCAATAGAATATAGTCTTCCAAATGCATTTACCAGGAATGAATGTAATGAGTGTATGGTTTATACGCTGTTTGGAGTGGGATTTGTCCGCAAAATCTTAAGTTTGATTGGTCCGCA